GCCTCCTCATCTCTGATCGATGATTCTATTGGCAAGGCTTGGTGGTTACTTTGTTCTCTGTACCCCCTCTGCTCTTCGACACTGCTTGGTTGCTTTGCTTTCCCTCGACCCACGGAGGATAGTTGTGCCATCGTGGACTTCAGAGTTCCTTGCTGAAGTCACGTCAGCCACATAAATATGAGTGATAGTTTTATAGGGATCAACGAAAAATTACAGAGAAGTGTGACTTCTTCTGGTATGCAGACAGACTGGTAGATTCCACTGCCGAGAATGATTGAGAATGTATAGTATCCTTGGAGGACAGTCTAACTCGTGACATAAGTCGTCTACATTTTAAAAATAATATCATCATATTATTAAATTTTATTTTAATAGTTTTTTTTTAATTTATTAATGATGATACTCACTATTAAGTGAGGTGTATATTTTATTTTTTGCACTGTTCTGAAGTGGATTTTTACTTATAAAGTATCAAATATATTGTTATGATAGTTATGCTGCAAACAACATTACAATACATGGGCAGAATAATCATTTGTCCATAAACAGTTGCGCTGTGGCTGTTTTCAAACAACAAAAAATAAACAGTTAGTCAGTTCATCCACAACAACTTTCGTGAAGCAGCTTTTTGGGACAGTTGCTGCACAACAGCTTACTAAAAAGTTGCAGCTTCCCCAAATAAACCCTAAGTGTGTTGGTTATTAGAAAGATGTCATCGAACTTTTTCAAAAAAAAATATATATATAATTACCACCACAAGTTTTTTAACAACTTCTCTAACAATTTCACAACTGCATCTTCAAATAACTACAGGTGCACCAAACAGACCCTTAAGCGGAGATTAATCAATAGCAACATTACCTTTGAGATTGATCCATGGTTAAATTCCCATAAAATAATATTTATACAACAATAATTTAATTGGCATCTTCAAACATACCCCTCAATTCTCATATATTTACATATCTAAAATCTAAAATTTACTTTCAAGCTTTATATATACCACCCTTGTCTTTATATCACATCAAGAATATCACCATTTTAACCTCAAAAAAGTAAAATACACCTTTCCAAAAATAGCTATGGTGGCATGCAAATAAAAAATTAAAGTTTAGGGCTGGATATGTAAATACATTAATTGAGTAGTATGTATGTAAAGATTAATGTTAAAATCAAACTCATAAGCATATAATAAATAAGTGGTTGAAACCAACATTTATTTGAAAAAAAAAATTCGAGGGAGAAAAACAATTATTTTGAATAATATTTTTGCAAGATATTTTATAATTAAATAGGAGAAATTGTTAAATTAATCAGTTGACATTAGGAACATGAGAGAAAATATCTCCTTCAGTTGACATTAGGAACATGAGAGAAAATATCTTAAATAAATAAATAAATAAATAAATAAATAAAAATTTCAACTTTATTTATGACCTCAGCACTAAAATACACACAATTCTTATGTATTTACATTTCTCCCTCCTTAACTATTATATTTACATTAATCTTGTACAAATTTTCAACTTCAAATATAAGATATCATTATTCACTATTATTTAGTTTTTTTAAAGTAAAAGGCACATTTTCAAGCAAACATAAAAGCATTATAATTGTAAATAAATACAAAAGAATTATGTTATGTATATAATTTTTTTTTTTGAATAAAAAACATTCAATATATATTATCTAAATTATTACACTCAATTCAAAAAAGGGGTTGCATCCTACGATAAAATAATGCGTCTATCGTCCGGATGTCCAGACAACGACGTGGATCACTCCATGCTGTATGCACAATCGTCAACTAGGCATACAATATCGAGATGTTATATTTTCTCGAATCCTACACCGTTGAATAATCCCACACCCAATATCAAATTAAAATATTATTAAACTATAATTATGTAAACAATAATGGAAAAAAAAAAAGAGGACAGAGGATAATCCAAAATCTTGATATTTTCTTTTGGAAGTTACATGAAAGAGAATCATTGAAAGGAAGAATGAATCTTTTTTTATGAATAAATAGTAGGTCATAATATTTTGATTGAAATTTGATCTATATAAATTCCAAAAAAATTTTGGACCTTTTTGAAAAATTACAAAAAAAAAATAAAAAAAAAATAAAAATTTATTCAACTTTTATATTACACCCATCTTAAAATAAATTAAAAAAAATTAAAAATCATTTAATTTAAATTTGAAATTAAATATAATTCAAAGAATTTAAACAATATAAAGAGAATATTAAAAATATTTTTCTTCTAAAAAATTTTGCACAATGAAAATAAAATCAAGATGATATAACTGAATCTATGCTTATAGTACAAGCACAATGAAATACATCATCCCAACAAGAATTAAAATGTATATTAAGCTCTTGTCAATATCAATTATCCAATAAAGAAAGCTTAATTTGGGTGAGAAAGATAATTTGACTTTATATAATTGGGTAATTATGCCCATCAAAAATTTATTTTGAAAAAACATGGTCAAAGTTTTATTTAATGTCAAAACTAATCTTACTGTATACTCTCTGTGGGTCCCATGAGGCCGAAACATAAGATGATATATTTTGTGGGCCTAGAAGGACCAACCTTTCTTTTTTGGACAATTCTTTATTGAACAATACTCGATCACATTCACCTTGGAGCTTACTTGCCAAAGTACGAATGCGAGCTTTCTTGTCGGAGTGACGCGCTTAGTTTACTGGTTGAAATGACTTGTCGAGCTCTCTATAATTATGACATCACTCTAGAATAGAAAGAAGTCCATTTCTACTTAAGAGCCACCTGACATCACCCTAGGATAGAAAAACATTCATTATTTTCTCTATCAACCGTTAGAACTTTTTAAGATTCCTGCTGATAAATTTTTTATGTATATATTTAAGTTCTCCGATTCTCGTACTCATTGATAGTGACAGCTACGATAACGATAAGGAAATCTTAATTTTTAAAAAAACTGTTGATATTCATGATTATTAAATGAACAAAAATTGAACACTCCTAGAATATTGTATGAAGACCCCATAAATGGGGGAGAATGAAAGAAAAAAATATATCTTATCATACTCTTCTTCAAGTGATTTATCCATTATTGGTGATCATTGAGTGCAGCCTTGCCTTTAAGTCAGCTAAGTTTGGCAAAGATGCCCGAAAGATGGTTCTTTAGGTATTGAAGCAGCGAGCATAAGCATCTTCCAAGAAAAACCTTATGTGACTTAGGCGAGATAAATCCCCGAGTCAGGGGACAAAGTAGGGTCATCTGATTTGTTTTCTAATCACGCTACAGGCGGACATCAACATCTTCCAAGAAAAATCTTATGTGACTTAGGCGAGATACATCCCTGAGCCAGGGGACAAATTAAGGTCATCTGATTCGTTTTCTAATGGCGCTACAGAGAGCTCCCAAGTGAATGAGGGTGGCTTCTCAATGAAGAAATGTCAGACAACGGGGAAAACACATTTGGTAGTTCGACGGAGTCGTTAGCATCCACTCGGGATCCTTTCGTGTCAGCGAAAGAGCATAGGCAACATCCTATAGCTACGGAAATGCTGCTGAAGAAATTGAGGGTGACCATTCAAGAGGCAGCCTATAATCCTCTGCCGGTGGATGTTCCTAGAGCTTTCACCCTTCCACCATCGGTGGAACATGAGACCGGGGAGGGAGCTTGCTCCTTTACTACCTCAGATCTACATAAGAGGATGGGCATGTCATCTAGTGATGGGACAAGCATGCCGCCTCAAATCAAACATGGTGTTGTCGAGGCTTATGCAAATTTGGGATCTCTTGAGGATTCTAGAAATTCGGTAGGACCACCAAAGGATGTGGCGACATGTCCAACAGTTGACCCGGTTGAGGCGGCCGACATGTTTAAGCCACCCGGCTCGGCTGGACTTCGGCTTTGAGTGGCAGAGACTCCAATGATCCGGGAGGCTGATCGAGCTCATCCTCGGGACGCGTTGTTAGAAAAACTGGAGAAAGAACCTATCCTTATGCATGCTTGGGAGCCTATCCTTCAAGATGAAGTGACGGCACTTCAGGCCGAAGTGTTTGCAATCTAGGAGACGGTTTTGGTCTCTAGGCTTCATTTTGAAATAGAAAAGGCGGATTGATTTTGGTTAGGAGGGGAATTAGTGTATCTGCAGCTATTCCAACTCAATTATGTCTTTGCTAAGGCTGCGGCTGATGGTTTTATTAGGTATTTTTTTATTGCTGATAAGTTGTACCTGGAGGATTCACATGTAAATTTACATATTTTGCTTAAATGAAATTTTTATTTTTAATGTATCATAATGTGCGTATGATGTAACTTCATTCTCGCAGTTTAATGTGGCAAGATACCCTTATGCCCTTGTATTGTTTCGTCATATGTGGCGAACCATAAGTAAAGTCGGCGAACTTTGAAGAACCCTACTTTGCTCTCTTTTTCTCTCAGATCATTTCCTTTCCTTGAAAGTCCAACCTTCCTTCTTCCCTTCACTTGTCATCTATGGCGCATAAGTACTCTTTCTGATAGGGTTTGTGGCTAGACTCAAAACCAATTTGCATTTCAGCCCCTAATTTACCTTTAATCTGCTTTTCCTTTGTATGAATACAAATTTATAGTCAATCAAAATTAATTGTTCACAAATCAAACCAGTTAAGTTCAAATCAAATTTGAATCAAGCAAGTCACATTTTATTAATGTCAAAACAAAGCCCCAACTCAAACAAAAAAATAATTAAAATATGAGTCCTGAAACAAAACTGCATTAGTACTCTAATCACAATACGCCACGTGTACAGTCCGGCCTGACCATACATTAAATTATTTAATTGTTTATATTTAGTGAGGCCAAACCGTACACATGACACATTATGATTAAAATCCTGATGCAGTTTTGCATTTGCATCAGGACTCCTGATGTAATATTTTTTTTCAACTCAACATAATACTTCCAAGGCAAAGGCAATTCGATAAAAAAAATAATTTACATAACAAAATAATCTCCCCACTATTCCAAGGCAAAGGCAATAGAAATCTTCATTATTTTTAAGGGATAAATACATAGAAAACACTCGAGACATTGATATTTATAGATCAAGCCTCCATGTGATTTTTTGAACCATCGAACCGATGCATTTACACATGCCATGATCAAACCATTAAGAATTTGATACTTCGAGTTTGAGTAAAAATTTAGAAAATGAATGAGGAAAAGTGCTTGATTTCTAAATAGTAATATTTCCGGTGCTTTGTACGTAATTACCCCTTTTTTAAAAATCAAACAAAGTAAGAATAAATCAACTTCAATTTATGTTTTCCATCTATAGTAATCTTTTGGTACACCTACCCTAAACCCCTACTAATTGAAAGGTTAGAAAAAGAACGGAGTCACTCCTCCCTAAGGAATGGTCTTACACTGTATTTGGTGCAATCAAACGGTCCAACGTCCTGAGCTTTCCTCTTGACCTGCAAATAGGCAGCTTTTAATAGCCTGATAATGGAGGATGAACTCAATTTTGAGCAGAAACTAATTACAGAATGGATCAAAATGTAATCCAGGGATCAACAAATGATTTTTAAGAACTTTAAATGCAAAATTCATCGCATTAAATAGGTCAATAAAAACAACAGGGAGATTTACATACATAAACTTCAATTTTTACATACATACCGACTTACCTATACATGAAAAGAACTGTTTCAATATCTAAAAATTAAAATGATGGTTATCTTCGATGTGATACGAAAGGTTTGGGTGTTATAAATGTTAATAAGCTGGTATAGGAGTTAGAAATGTACATGTATATGTATTGGGTGGTATTTACGTGAATGCCCCAAAACAAGAATCACTTTTTAGCATTAGTTAATTTCAATAATTTCAGTCTAAATTTGTCAGAGCTCATGAAATAGCTGAAACCACGAGTCAACCTATCAGTAATTAAAATTAGGTTATTAAGAATCGAATGTAATTCACAGTAATAACCATTTTGATCATTCAATCAACTCCTATCAGTGCCACAACAATTTTCAACAAACATGCAACACAAAACAAAATGTTTCAGACAATAAACATAAAATTATTTTACCAAACAATCATTTGGTCTTACTTGAAAATACTCCAGATCACCAATGCAGCGTAAAATTAAACGTCAATACCAAATAAAGCCTGTCTTAAACACTATTGTCTGCAATTAAAAATTAAAGGAAGATTTACATGCATATATGCTATCTTACCTATGCACAAAAAGGTGCATTTCATTTTAAAAAGTTAAAATAGTGGTATTTTTTACGGGATATTAAAGATTTGGGTGGTATAAATGACAAAAGGAAAGTTTAGGTGTTGATATGTAAATAGCTAGGACTTGGGTGGCATGCAAGTAGATGCTCCCCATTATCTTTTATTTCTTTCCTTCATTTCCCCAACTTTTCACTTCGGAACAAATCTTAAAGCATATACCCAAATAACTTCACGATTAATCTATTGAAAGGAATTCAACTTACGAGAACAAAGTCAGAGAGTAAAACAAAAATGTTTAGATTTAATGTCCCATTGATTTGTGACTCAATGGTCATTCTATAAATACATCCAATGCTAGTCACTGTTATGGCTGGATATATTGAAAAAGTTCTACAAAACAAGACAAAATATTCTCTCCTTTATGGCCATCAAATCAACTCTTGCTATGCGTGGTTGTTTGGCTTTTAGTTTGATCCATTTTTTTTAATAATCATCTTCACGTAAAGAAATATTATCAGAGTCAATGATCTTAGCATTCGAACAAGTTAATTATCTCACATTAATTTGAAATTATCATCCTTTGCTCCATCACCCACTTCAATAACTCCACTAATTTATCAAATGATTACTTAAAAGTTCATACAAGTCCAATACATCCCTTTTGTTATGTACTAAAATGCCTCATTAATTATTGAGCATCCCCTTAGGCTATATACCACTTGAAGAATTTTAAACATCCACTTACGCAACTTCTTCAAATCAAACAAATCTTTCATTTTTCGAAATAATCGATGGCATACTTGATAATGACCATAACTATAATCTCATATAAAAGTATATTAGATAAAGATCTCATTCAAAAACTTTGATTAACTTCAATCTCACCTGTCCTTAATAATGGAGAGCATATCAAAGTTGAAGATTACTCCAAAGAATCTAATTCTTCGAAATTATAAGAAATCAAAAATTGCTAAAAAAAATATGCAATGCTAAACATCTTAACATGCATTGAAATACATATGATTTGATCCAATGCAACGTAACATCATCATTACAGTTAATACTAATAAATATAAGTTGCATGAATCCTCACATATTGACGATTCATCAAGAAATTATTATTCAACACGAATATTGATGTATTTTTGGAAAATACACATTCCAAATTCAAATTCAAGGTCATCTGAGCCCAATTTCAACAAATTTATAGTAAAATTGACAGTCTCAACAAGACAAACCCAGCGTCTCTAAAATTAAGTCAATTCGGCAACCAAGATTAAGCTGTTGAAGCACAATTGGAGGCTCTAGATAATTAATTGAAGGGTTAATTGAACTTCAAATTTGATATATTTATAGTTGAATCAAGCGTTTCAACGAGAGGAATCCAATAAGCTTAAGATCACTAAATTATGAGGTCATTAAGAGACTCGAATTCTTAAAACATCATCTATGATTGAGGGGGAAATGAACCATCCAGTAAGGGGTTATGAAAATTGTGGGCCAAAATATCAAAATAACCCTCTCCAAAGGCTAACAATAGGCCTCTTCTCTTCACTTGGGAAAGCAGAAGAAAACGAGAAGGAAAACTGAAATTCTAGAGCCTGTTCTGAAGGGAAAACCCAACGAGTAACCGGTGCCCTTCTTCGTCGCCAACCACCATCACCGGCCTCTGTAGCCATCAGCCACCACCCACTATCACCACCTATTGTTGCCAACCACCTATCATCTGCGACCATTACTTACACTTAGTATAATCAGAGTACGACATTTGTTGAATTTTCTTAACACTTTAAATCCGCCAGCCACCATCGATCACCTGCTTCCGTAGCCATCAACCACTGTCGACCACCACTTGTAGGTCGTCTGTGACCATTACTTGCAACTATTATAATCGAACTATGATTATTGTTGAATTTTCTTAACACATTTTTTTTGCTATTAAAAACAAGTGTAGTTTTCATTGTAAGATTCTAATCTCATTCTCCTTGTCGCGAGAGAAGAATGCATATGTATACATATAGTGGATTACTTCCACTGCGCTAGGACACGCGGTTCTTTTGAATTGAAAATCTTGATGTCTCATCCCACTATCTTCTTTTATTTACGTGTTAGATTTTTGTGCAACACTAAGACATTAAATTATAACTCTAACAAATTGAATTTTCTGGCATACAGCAATTTGACGTTGTTTATGGGAAACGATGTCCCATTAGAACTCTATATTTCTTTAATGGCTAAAAAACACAATACATGAGCTTCTCGCTATAATACTCATTATTCTAAGCTACAGCATTGAAGTCTATGATGCCAAGCCTCTATTTTGTTCCCCAATAATATACATCACCTAACTGGCGAAAGAACATCCTTTGCACCCCTTAAAGATCATTACAAAGAATAAAGAAAACTTAAATTGAGATCCTCAAATTTCTACGTAAGGCTCGATAACCGACAATAGTGTAAAGTGGAGGGGCACAATTACCTCAAAATCCACTAATTAGAGGTACACGGTTGGCACCACCACCATGTCATGACCCGATCCGAGCTTGAAATTAACTAAGACAAGGACAGACAGTAGGACAAAGGAAACTAAGTTTTTTCATATTTATTCTATCACTAACCATTAATAGATTAAAGAACCACTAATCAAAATAAATTAAAATAATATATTTAAATTTACCTCGTTACTAGTTGTCCGCGACTTTTATAAATATTTTTTCTTAGTGTTTCACAACTTTACTTAGTTTAGTTTAAAAATAATTTGAAAAGTTTGTTAAAAAATAACAGTGAGCTAAACAAGTCAGTGAATACTCAAACTCATAAACTACAGTAATACAAGACAAATGAAAACAATATACAAGTCAATTAAACTTTTCATAAATCAATATAAATATTTGACGTTATTTAAAAAATCTTACTACATCAATAGAATATCAATATCATTTTGTAATATATAAAATCATTATAGGAGCAACATCTAAAAATTTACACTAATAAAAACATTTCATATCAATATTTTTTTCATATATGTGCACGAGTACTTTAATGTTGTTCCACTAGTACCATAAAGAGGTGACTCTATCATAGTCAATCATGCACATACAAACAGCCAACATAATATATAATTCATGTGCACATCGCATTTATTTCAACATTCTATATATAGTGTATACCAATACATGATACTAAGTAGCTACCAAGAATTCATAACAATGTGATCAATAAAGAAAAGAGTGCCTCAATCAGAATCATTACCTGCAAAATAGTTGAGAAGAAACTAAATATAATTATAGATTAAAAATACGAGTACTCACCTTGGTGGAAATTAATTTGCTCTTAACTTCGACCCTTCTAAAATTTAAGCCTACAATAAACTCCATATAAAATTTAAATAATTTACCATTTTGATAAAATATTTACTTTATATTATTTAAGTGTTAAGTTTTCATTATTAAACATTATGTAATCCTAATTACACACACACACACACACACACACACACACACACACACATATTCAAAATATAAATTATAAAATCCTTATTAAACACTTTAATCAAATTTACTCACCCTTAAACCTCTCGGTCAAGCCTAAACCACGCGAAGTCTTCGACTACAGACGACCATGTCTCCCTTTCCTGGGCTTGAGATCTCTGGCTTGAACGCCTCTCCCGCGCGAGCTTAGCTCCTCTGTAGAGCCGCAAGGTCTCCGACTCCTTTGATTGTAGCTTGACCACGACATTGACTCGACGATACTACAGTCTTGTTCCTCTGCACGAGGCCCCGTCTACACGCTAGCTACTCAATGCCTCCTTCAGCTTCTGCTCCTTCCTCACGTCCCTCGTTCCCATCGAACAGCTCGAAGCTCGACGTTGTCTCCTCGCATTACAACTCCTTCGATCGAACTCCAAACGCACGAGGCTTCGGCTCTCCCGCTAAGTTACTGCCTCCCTCATATGGCATTTTATAGGTTGAACCCGCCTCTTAGGCTTCCAGTCCCCTCACTTCCTCTCCCTTCTATTGGGTTTCCTCACCCTCTTTGTTTGGTTTCTTGACTACCCACTTCATCTATTTCGGCTCTTCGTTCCTTCTCCCCCGTCATGGAAACAGAACATTACCACCTTAGAAACAATATGCAAGTCATTTTTTATTAATCAGGTCAATATTAGCTATGGCTCAACTACATAAAGACATATATTAAAAGTATGCTTGTAAAATACTCTTATATAAGA